CCACTCAATTTGTATTACGTTGTGTATATAAGCATTTGAAGATTTTATACAAGAAAATAAAAAGGTAAGATAGTATAGTCAAGGGCGGAGCCCCATTAGGTCTAGTGCGGGCATCTGAACTTTTGGGCTCCAGTAGGTCCAAAATTTTTATTTATTTATTTGGTCAAAAAAGCCCAATTGCCCACAGCCCATGACCTGTTTACTGTCCCAGGCCCGAAATCTTGATTCAATTAACCCGATTTCGTTCAAATCAAAACCAAACCCTTGCTTGAACTTGAATCGCGTCTCTCTCGACCCTCGCCTGCTTCTCGCCAGTCACCACTCCAACTTGTAGTCGCCGACTTCTAGACTGCAGTTCCAGTCCACTGGCGGCCGGCATCTCCTAGATTAGGGGCTTTACACTTGAACCGTCAGCTGCCACGACGCCGCCTGCCAGCCCAACGAAAGAATAAGAATTGATTCACTGGAGAAGCCCGAAGCGGCGAAGCCGGAGCCTAGAAGAACGAAGAAGGTGATTTCGATTTCGATTTAATTTTCAATTTCAACCGCCAATTTCTCATTTTCTTGTAGCAAACTCGAAATTGTTTTTCGAGTTCCATTGCATTGTTTATCAACAATTTTATTACAGTGAGGAACAAAAATTGCACGCTATACGAAAAACACATATACCCAAATCGTGCCTGCTGTTTTGTGATTTCCAATTGGGAATTTTTAGTGAGACAAAAAGGATTTTTGGACTATTTCTTGTTATAATATATACATGTGTATGTAATAGCAATGAATTATTTGTGGGTCGGGGCACAGCGTTTAAGGAGATGGGAATGGGATGATGACATTCTTGCTTAAGCTCTACTGATTCTGCTACTGTCGAATCCGATATGGTAGCATAGGTTTTTGGTGAAATGGGACATAAATTTTATAGTCCAAAATTATGTTATTTGTGTAATTACTGATCAATCCATTTTTAAAATTTGTACATATGGTAACGTTCATCTATTAACAAAAACAAGTCATTTATGGATATTGTCTGTGATGGGGAAGAGCTGTGCATTAAATTGAAATCTTTAAGAGTAAAGTTACTCATAATCAATTGGCAAGAGGTCAACGATTACGTGAATTGCTGTTCCTGAAAGTAGATAAAACCTCGTATCATTTTCATAGAAATTTATTGATATTGATTCATATTTTACTATTCCTATTTTTATTTTTTTTAATTATCTGATCATATTGAAAACTTAATTGTTAAAATTAAAAGTCATTAAATCACTCTTAATCCGCATATTTCGTGGGACTATAATTACTATTGTCTTATATACAACTTGTCTTTATCTATATTACATTAATTATAAGCTTTTGAAATTAAATATGATTTTCACCTATTTCCAACAAAAAACTATTCGTTTGATCATTCTCGAAAGTTCAATAATTTCACATATATACATTTAATTTACAAGGATATTTGTCGAAATTGCATAGAAACTATGGAATCAATTTCAATTCAGCCTCCAACTTAGCAAAAATAGTTGGGATTGAGTGGAATAATACTTGCTAACTTCCATTGCATAACTGCGTTCGACAGGTGCAGGCCTGCAAGTGCAGCACTAGCTTTCGATTTTGGAGCTGTCACCCGTACCTGCTTTGGATTGGAAATTGCGAACCACTGTGTGAAATTGTAAGTTCAAGTTGCTTAAAATTTGGAAATAGTATAATTTGCATTGTGAAATTGCGAATTGGAAGGTGAATTGATAATGTGAAATTGTGAATTGGATTGTAAAATAGTATAAATTGCATTGTGAAATTGCGAATTGGAAGGTAAATTGATATTTTGAAATTGGATTGATAATGTGAAATTGTGAATTGGATTCTGAAATAGGATAAATTGCATTGTGAATTTGCAAATTGGAAGGTGAATTGATATTGTGAAATTGGATTGATAATGTGAAATTATGAATTGGATTGTGAAATGTGAATTGCACTGCGAATTGAAATTGTGAAATTGTTAATTTATGATCCTTTTGTCATTATGAATTATTCTCACTCATTTTAAGTAATAATTGGATATCAAATGTTTAAATCCAGATATCAAATGAATAGATACTTTCAACGAAAAAGGAACGTAGATAATGTTGATGAGGGGGTATCAAATAATGTGGAATTTTATATCAAAAAACTTCCAACTGATCCTGGTCTAAGGATACTCATTTTGGATTACAATGCTAACATCCGAGATGAAGTTCGAAAAGCATATATGTTAAAGGGTCCTTATCAGCCCCAAGATCATGACTTTCCAAAACGACAATTTGGAGTAACAATTAGACGATTCAATCCTTCGTGGTTTAAAGAGTTC